AAATATATATATATATATATATATATATACCAGCAGAGTGTAATTTTCAGTCAAACGGGAGAACAGGTTGTGGACTTGTAATGTTTTAATGCAATAGATTTGTATATTTTAAATAACTTTAAAATGTATATTAAATGTGTATTTAAGAAAATGCAGATATTAGAAGAAAAAATCACCCAAATACAACCATATTTAACCATTTGCTATATTTTCTGGTAGCTTTTTCTGGGTTAGTCTTCTTTTTTAAAATATAGTTGTTCTCACTAATAATACCATTGGCCATCCTCTGCTCACTTAACATGATGCCATAAGCACTTTCCTATTTGTTATGCAACCTTCAGAAAGTGTGACAGTGAGATGAAGAAGATGCCTCAGGAACCAGAGAACTCTGGTTTCCAGACCTGGCTTTGCTAGCAGTGTGACCCTGGACTAGATCATCTCAATAGATGACAGCAATTATTGTTTAATCTACATAACAACCTTGTGAGATACATACTATTCTCAAACCTATTGTACAGATAAGAAAATGACTGGGCTCGGTGGCTCAGCTTGTAATCCTGCACCTTGGGAGGCTGAGGTAAGTGGATTGCCTGAGTCTGAGGATTCGAGACCCACCTGGGCAACTTGGTGAGACCTCATCTCTACAATAAATAAAAAAACCAGCCGGGCATGGTAGCGTGTGCCTGTAATTCTGGCTACTCGGAAGGCTGAGGCAGAAGGATCGCCGGAGCCCAGTGGGTCGAGGTTGCATTGGCCGGGAGCGGCCACTGCACTCCAGTCTGGGCGACAGAGTGAGATTCCAACTCAAAAAAAAAGGAAAGAAAATGGAGAGATTAGCTTGCCCTAGTTTGCACAGCTAGTAAGTTGTGGACTCAAAATGAGCCCTGCAGTGCTCCTGTTTTCTGTCTTGGTAAATGGCACTGTGCCCATTTATTCTTCACCAGCAACCTATGAGAGGGTCATTTCATAAAACTCTGGTTGAGGTAACTAGGTGGATGCTGGGGCCACTCACCAGGACAGAAAACAGGAGGAAAGATGCTTGGGGACATCTATGTGGGGGTGAGTGGGGTGGGGGGACATGGGGGATCGAGCAGGAGCTCATGGCGAGTGGACATGGAGAGTGAGAGGAAAAGCCTGTCAGGACAGAGCTCCAGGGAACACCAGCTAGCAGAGGAAGCAGGAGAGAAGGAGCTGCCAAAGAGGGAGGAGGGACACAGGCCTGGCTAGAGGGCTGCCTGTCAAGTCCTCCAAGCCACTGCTCCTGTACACCTGAGGTCTCACATCTGTGCTTCCAGTCCAGGCCTCCTTACACTCCAGCAGTCTTTTAGCTCTTTCTCTCTGCCTGGGGAAAACCCTCCCCACTCCATCCCCTCCCCAATACCCCTTGTACCTACCAAATTCCCATTCATCCCGCAAGTCTGGGCATAAATGCAAGTTCTTCCATGAAACCTTCTCCTGCTCCTCTGACAGACTCCAGAGCCCCACTCACCTCCACAGTTGGACACTCCCTCCATAGGAACAGTTATCTTGTAATTGTTTGCATATTTCTTTCCCAGTTACTAGGAGCTCCCAGAGAGCTAGGACACTGTCTTTTCCCCTTCATAACCCTAGACCTAACATCCAACAGCTGTGTGTTAAATGAAGCAAGGAAGTCAGTAGAGCCTGATCCTTGAGACACCCCGGTAACACTGAGGACCCATAGGCTTCTTTCCTGCCTCCTTTCCAACCTGCATAAAACCTTCAGGGATGCAAACTCCTCAGGTCCTGCCTCCCA